TTTGGGAACTGAAAAAAATGCCTAATTGCTGGAACCAATGTTTTAAAAACTGAAATCATGCCAGTTAGCAAATATGTTCATTTAAAGAACATTCCACGTGACTACACTCTGGAGGATTGACTACAAACATGAGAACAAGGAAAATATTTAGGTATAAAATTAAAATTTTAAGCTCCCTTAGATTTATAACTTCTTCATTAAATACGTCTGCAAACAGCAGCCCATAAAAACCTGTAGCAATTAAGTGGTTAAATGAACTGCCTCCCTTGTCAATTTTAAAGGAGTGATTAATATTAGATCGTCCTTTTACTAATTAGACTCTCCCTTGTCTTTCGGCTTTAGAATCGAGTGAAAATGGAGGCTGTCTGCTCCAGCAGGAAGCGGGGCAGCTAACGACACTTCCCTCACTGGGCTTGAGCGTGGCACCCCCTGAAGGGAGGTGAGCTCCGTGGTTTTCTGTGGCAGTGGGCGACGGGTGGGGAAATGGCTGTGCGCAGAGCCGGAGGGCACGCCAGGTGCCCGTCCATCACGGGAATTGCTGCCTCCTATTTTTAAAAGGCTTGCAGGTCGTTATGCACGCAGCATGAGATCTACTACCATCAAGGCCACTGTCTCCAGGCCATCAGTCCTTGAGACGCGGGACAGATTGGTATGTGAGCGAGGCAGGGTGGGGCAGTGGGTGGGGAGGAGCACAAACCGGCTGGGGAAGGTGCCTAGGACTCAGGAATTGTTGCAGAAGCTGCTGCCCGCTCTGCAGGGCCGGCCGGGCGCTGCGACGGCAGCGGCGGCGAAGATGGGGAATCCATCAGATGGAGAAATGGGGCGACTGCTTACAAGGAGAATAAAGAGCGGCAGAGACAGAGAATATTTATATGCCCATCTCCGCACTGGGAGAGAAGATGCTTCATCACAGGGGTCGGCTGCAAAATCACACTTTCCCGGCTCCCGACTAGAGAGAACCTTTTGTTCGGGCTGCGGGGAGGACAATAAGGCCCTCACCGGGTCCTGGCCCCCCAGGGTTGCCCAGCTGCTGCCTAGCCCCGCAGGGAGGGGCCAGGAAACCTCCCCAGTGCCGTCCCAGCTGCCCCTGCCAGCCCCCTGGTCACCTCCCGGGGCGGAGGGGAAATGAACAAAATCTCACTTTCTCAAGCCTGGGACTAATTTACTCCTTGGCAAAGCCCCTGCTACAAACCGCGGATGGACACCGGCGGCCTGGCTAGGTGGAGCCAGCCCTGCTACCGTCCTCAGGGGCCAGGGGCAGTGAGATTTTAACTTATTAATCACAGCTTCGTTCATTTTCAACAACCCACCCACACTGCCTGTGTGGATGTCTGTGTTGCGAGAGGTTTTGGCTTTATGATGCTTTTTTTCCTTTGAAATTTGCCCGATAGCATATACACTGATTTTAACCATGACCTTAACGCATAACCTTTTTGGGTGTCTTTCATGAAACTTACCCAAGTGCTGCCTTGGCCACAACCACTGGGGAAATCCTAAACCATGAACCAGGGCTAGGACCTGGGGGCAGGGTCGTCAGGCCTGTAGGTCAAACTGAGGTGGAAACCAGGGACCCACCCCAGAGTCAAGCCCCAGCTGCAGATTCGGCATGCTGCCCCAGGCATCCACACCCAAATGCTGGCCTCCCCACTGCCCCCCACTGCCCCACTGCCCCCAGAGTCCACCAGCGTCTCTGCAAACACCTGGTGTCACTGTGGGAGAGCCTCGTCCCAGCCTCACCCTCTCTCCCTGGAGCCCACCAGGCCTCTGGGCGGCTGAGGTGCCCTGCCCACCCACCTCTTTCCACCTGGCAATTTTGGGGTTGGCAGGCTGGGGTCCATGGTGGGTCCACGCTACGGTGGGGGACACCTAGGGACAGCTCTCCTGGGCACACTCCTGGAAGGTTCCCCTTTGGTCCCTAACCACCAAGCTCAAGGCTGACAGGCTAATGGGGCTTGTACATGGAGTGACCTGCCCTAGCGCAAAATGGTGGTGACAGGCCCAGGCTTGAATTCAGAACCGTCCCAGGCAGTGCAGGTAAGTAAAGTTCAAGTGGGCAGGAAAGCATACCCACCAAGGTCTGGATGTGAGCACCACGCTGCCCTCAGGGACAGGCCTTTCCATACCCCCCACTGGGACCACAGGCCCAGGTTTCCCTGTGAACAGGGTGTGAGAGGCTCGGCATAACAGTGTAAAATATGGCAAAGTACTAGTTTACACTCAGGCAGGGCGTCCAACCTGTAGCCCAGGACGGCTGTGAATTCGGCCCAACACAAAAACGCAAATTTACTTAAAACGTTGAGATTTCTTTGTGATGACAAGTCACAATGTATTTAATGTGTGACCAAAGACAACCGGTGTGGCCCAGACACGCCAAAATGTGGGACACCCTGGTTTATGGGCCACAGAAAACCGCCCAGCAGAGCTCTTCCTGCCGCAGGCCCGTCCCTGCCCTACTAAGAGCAGCCGGACCTGCTGGGAATAAAAAGGAGCAACCCCCCCCCCCCCCCCCCCCGGGGTCTCTAGCTCCCCCAGCAGGGCTGGGTTCAGAGGCTAAAGGAGCAAGTTCAGATTCATTTATGGAGAAAACCCTCTGACTTTGCAGAAGACAGAGCCATTTACCAACGTGTGTGGGAACCAACACACTAATCACCGTTACACGCACACGGATGGCCAGTGCCAGCGACGTGTAAATCCCCAGATTAAATGCCCGACTCCACAGCGTTCTGGACTGTGGGTATTTATGATGGTTTCACAAGCCTATTTAACATTTCTGGCCTTTCTCCATTTCCCCGAATTTTAAACGCTACTTTAACTTCCTTCAACAGAGATACGGATGTGTGGTTCCCGCCCATCACCAAAAACAAGACATAAAGCCAGGCTCGGCCAGCCAGGATGTCACCGCTCAGCCGCCAGCTCGGAGCAGTGTGCCACGCTGGCACGGGCTGGACTTACACGGGTTCAACCCCGCCCCCCACCGTGGACAGGGAGAACAGGGAAGGCCATGACCGTGACCGTGACAACAGCAGCAGTGAACGGTAGCCAGGCAGGCACCGTCCTAAGCCATTCACAGGCCTCTCTCAGGCAAACCCCATACTCGCCACAGGGTAAGCATGTTTGTTGCTATTCCAATTTTACAGAAGAGGAAACTGAAGCTCAGAAGGCGTAAATGGAAGAGCTTGGACTCACGCCCAGGGCAGCTGACTACAGAGTGCGTCTGCCCCACAGGCTCTGTGCAGGGCATCCGACCTCAAGACAGGACATTCTGACCACACTTGGCTTTGGGCCGGACTTCCGTCCGTAGAGCAGGGAGAAGGCGGGGTTGGCAGTGGTTTCTGCCACGTGCGTGGGCCCTGCCCCAGGCCCCGCCTACCTCACTCCATCCTGTGACTCGAAGGCCAGAGTCAGAACACAGGTCCATCGGCCCCACACACCCACTGTCCCCACCAGCCCCTCAGAGGTTCATGGAGCCACAGACTTTAATTCCTCATGGAGAGGATTGGAGTTTGACATGCCGGGTCTCAAACTCAGCCTGGGCAACCTACTTCACCTCTCAGAGTCTCCACTTCGGCCTACGAAATGGGGAGGAGCAATGCCCACTTGGTCAGCGTGGGGTTCCTGCCACGCCCAGTGAGCGCTCAAAGGACCCCGGGCAGAGAAGGCAGCCCTCGGATGGGGGCCCATCTCCAGCACATGCCACCTCACGACACCCAACCCACGGCGAGGGGCGCCCGTGCGCCAGCGCTTCTCACATACAGGCTTTGTATTCGTGAGAACCCTGGGAGATGGGTGCCACCGAGATTCGTGCTTCACACAGAGAGGGGGCGGGGCTTGCCCCCATCAGTGTGGAGCTGGGTTAGACCTCTGTCTATGTGAACTTGACCATGCTAAATAGGCCACAGGCTGTGCCCCTCTTTACCACCTGCAGCCAGAGCAGGACGCGCTCACCGAGTGCCACGGGAAGCGGGGACCCACGCACAGGCAGGCCATGAGCAGGCTCCCTCAATTTTGAGAAGGGCTAGCAAGGAATTCTGTGTGCCTACCTCTGATGTGCTAGCCAGACATCCTTTTTCCTAAGTTTACTCCGCCCCCCAGAAAATCTGTAGATGACAATCAAGTTGGTTTTTATGATTTACTGAAAGTCAAAGACAAAGGGGACTTCTTTGTCTTGTTTTTGTTGTGACAGGTTTGGAAATTTGTCGTACCACATTGATTCAATTTTCTTTGATTTCAGCCATCTTTCAATAATGCAGCCTGCGTCTGCTGGCGGGGCACACGGGAGAAAGCCCAAAGGGGCCAGGGATATGGAAATGGCTCTGCCGCTTCCGTCTCTGAGACAAATGCCCCTCTCCGTGGAGAGCTGGCTGCAAGCGCGTGACTGCCGAGCAGCTTCCATACATAAAAGGTGGCGCGCGTGCCAGGGCTGTCTCGGGGGCACGCGGGCGCGTCCCACCTCCAGTCTGACTCCTTTATCTCGGTGTCCGTTCTTCCGAGTTGTCACGCGTGCCCCCGTCCTGGGTTTCTTTATTAGGAAAGCCTCCAGACTGTTTCAAACCGAGCTGCTAAATGGGGTGTGGTTTATCACACACTGTGGGGTGTCCCCCGACCCTGTAAACCACACAGGGGCTGGGATGTGTCCCTGAACCCCTGCTAGTGGCACGTCCTACAACAGAAGGTGGTGGAAAAGTCGACTCCACTCCCATCCCCCAACTGCACCTTCTTTAATCTGAGACATTTTTAAAAATAAAGCACAAGGGGTTGTTCTGCCTGTCCCTGAAAACCTTCTGACTCAGGACGAGATGCTGGTTGTCTCTGACTTGAAGTAATAACGACATTAAATGTGAGTTTCTTTTTCCAAGCAATAAATCTGAGGGAAATAGGAGTGCTTTTCTCAAAGTGGTGCCCCACACCCAGGTGCTCCGGTTCCTGGGACAGACCCCTGGCTCCAGGGGTGAGTGAGTGACGGCTCGGGCCCCCTCCCCAACTCTAGGCGGTTTGCTTACCTCTTTCTCAATTTCTGCCAGAGACTTGATGGTGATTCCCAGCAGGTCAAAGGGCTGCATCTGCAAACAGACCAAGTCCTCCTTTCAAAGGGCTGGAAAACACCCCTTCACACTGACTCTGGTTGCACAACCTCGTGAAACCCACACCCCACCCTGTGTGATCTCGTGTTTTCTCCACCCCCTTCCTCGGAAACCTATCAGTGTGACCCTATGGCGGTCAGTGAGGGCAAATGGCCCAGGAACATACGTCCAGAAAACCTGTCGGTGGGGTCTGTCCCCTCCAGGAGAGACCCCTGCTTAGTCATCTGTCTTCAGCACCCAGGAGGGCTACGACCGTCCTGAAAGACAGCAACCGTCACCAGTAACTCCTGCCTCTGCTCCCTGCCCGTGTGAAAGGCCAGTTTGCCTTCTTTTGGCAGCTGTGGGGCTGGAGCGGCCCAAGGCTTCACCAGAGGCTGCCCTGACTGCTGGGTCTATGCGGTGGAATGTGCCTAAGGAGTTCCAGGAGGCCAGGAGCCAATCTCCTGTCCGGGGCTCCAGGTGTCCAGGGAAGGAGCTGAGGGAATGCCAGGCCTTTGAAAATGCAAGGTGAATAAAGCAACTGCCCATCAGTTATCATTTGAGAAATCAACGGTGGTGAAAAATAGTATTGCATTTCCATGGGTGTTTCTATAATTTCATGAATATGGGAGGTGACTTAAAAAAAAAAAAGATGCTGGCTTTTCAAACAGCATGAAAAATCAAACACACATGGCCATGTGAGTCAGCTGGAGGCCCAGAGAAGCCTGGGCCGAAACGCGTGGTGGGGCACAGGGGCCTGTCTCTGAGGCCCCCTTGCCTGGTCCCCCCGGGGCACCCTGGGTTCTGTAGTCCCAGGAGGGCGCTGGCCCTGCCTCCTATGGCCCAGAACAGCAGCTGGGGGTGAACAAGTGAAACCTGCGAGCCTCCTACAAACCCCAGGGCCTTCATGGTTCTGAATTGCAGCCCAGAGGAGGGGGCAGAGCCCGAGTCTGGCAGGTGGGTGGCGGCGAGGTGAGGTTAGAGAGAGCCCGGCCTCGGAGTCCAAGGACCCGGACTCAAAACCTGCCCGTGCCTCCTGGCGATGCAGCTGCAGGTTAAATCGCTTCATCGTTTCCTCTCCTGTTAAAAAGCAGCGTGGGCGGCCCTCCTGGCCGGGCTGCTGGGAGGATTAAACGAGAGCAGCACAGGGAAGCGCTTGGCACCAGGCTTGGCGCCTCCAGCACTTGCTGAGTCGGCAGCGCCCTGGTAGCAGCACGTTAGTGAGGGCGATCTTGGGACCCGGCCACCGAATTAGGCACTCAGCTCCCGGGGCTGCGCTGCCAGGAGCCAGGAAACAGTTCGGCTCTCGCCTGCTGCCAGCCCGAGCCGTGCGAGCGCGGGGCCGCCTGCCCGCGCGGCGCGCGGGATCCAGCGGAGGTCCAGCTGTTGTATCATTAGGCTCTAACTGCCCCGCTAAACTTTCCCGACTGGAGCTGGTGCGCAGGACAGAACAGCCTCTCCAAGGGAGCGGGCAGGAGAGGCGCCAGCGTCTCCATGGCAACACGGCCAAGTGGAGTCGGCTGAAGTTACTCATGCTCCGCATGTCACGTCAGGAGCATTTTTCAAGATTAAGCTGCTTACCAGAAGGGTTCAGAGGAGGCCTATTATATTTCATGAAAATGGAAAGTACAGAGCAGGTCAAATCGCAAGCCGGGTGGTTTTAAGCTGGATCCAAGGAAAACACTGAAGGATTCTTTAGCTGGTGCCCAAGCTGGGGCCTTCACGTTTATTAGCTGCTCAAAGCAAACTTCTTCAGAAAGGATAAAAGAACCCCAAACAACAACAACAACCCAGAAACAAGTCTATTGAGCCAGCATGGGCCAGGCTGCAGAGCTAAGGCGGGGGGCCACTGCCACTGGGGAGGGGCTCGGGGGGCTCGCACCATCAGAGCAAGGGCCCCGGGGGTGCCCCGCAGGGCCTGTAGCCCCAGCCCACAGCCACCCAGCGCCTGTGTGGTGGTGCCTCTCAGGTCTGCGTTCTGGCCCTTGGGCCCAACCAGCTTTCTCAGTGCCTTCGCTGCTAAAAGACAGCTTGGGGGCCGGCTGGGGCCTCTGCTTGCTCACATGTGCCATGGTGCCAATGCTGGCCAGTGCTGGGTGGGAAACCCACCGCTGCGAGACCCTGCATGGCAGGGCCAGCTCAGCCCAGCATGGGCCTCCAATTAAAGTGGAAGGAATGAGGCAGCCTCCGTTTTTTAGGACACTGTCGTTAAGTGAAAAAAGAACAAAAATTAAGCTGAACTTGGAAACCAAGTGAAGTTTGATTCAATTAACCATCACGTTTGAAACAAAAAGGCTCAGCTGCGTCCAAGTTTGCTGGTCTGTCTCGCTCCCTCTTTCATTTATTCTCAAGTCTCTGCAATGGGCAGCCTTGGCCGAAGGGGCTCAGGGGGGCCTCAACCCACTCCCAGCCCTCAGGCAGCCTGCGTAGGGCTGAGCGTCTGCCAGGCCGGGAAGGGGAAGGACATGCCTGCAGAAGTGATTCTCATGGAGCCAGGGGTGTGGGGCCCCCGGGAGCCCTGCATGTCACTGGGCAGAGGTGGTGGAAGGGGAGGGAAATCATGCATGAACTTACACTTTCTGGAACACAAGAAAACTTCTCTGAGATCATAAAAGGCACACCATCCATTGCTACAAAAGAAGAAAAAAAAGAGAAATTGGCATCGTAGACACCATGTTCAGCAACTGAGACATCGACATAGCACAAGCCAGTGGGTGGCTGGAGCAACCGACCTGCACGCAGGTGAGTAGAGCCTGGGGGACGTGCGCACAGGTGCTGTCCCTGCTCCAGGGACACGCAGCTGGTGCAGGAGACAGACGCTCGCACCTCCCCTGGAGACCAGACAGTTGTGTGGGCAGAGCTGTGGGAGCGCAGGAGGGCCCAGCGTCCACCCTGGGAGCTGGGCCTCCGGCCTTCGAGCTGTGGCGCCACCGAGGGCTGCCCACAGGACAGAGGCGCATGAGACTGAGAGGGACAGAGCCGTGCGTGTGAGGTGGGCCGCAGCAGGCGCGTCAGACATGCTCTCAGCTGAGAGTACCACATCCCCGGCTGTCAGGCTCCGGGGAAATGTCTAGGCTGGAGGAAAGAGTGGTTCTGGGGTCAGACGGACCGGGTTTGAATCCTGGCCACGGCTTTGAATGAGCTTCTTAAGTGGGGTTTCCAAGGAGGACGCACAGCCGGCAGTGAAAGTGCCTGTGAGCGCGTGGTGTGTGCAGCGCCCGCCCAGCGTCCGGCACAGAGCAGCTGCGGGGCTGCTCGGCCACCCCCGTGAACCCGGTCCCAGCCCTGCCAGGCTGGCGGCGCAGACAGGGTAAGCAGGGTCTGCAAACCCGTGTGGGGAGAGTGTATGTTTCTGTCAGTGGGCGCTTCTCTTCCACAGCCCTGTACCCACTGTGTCCCCAGGCCACTGCCATCAGACGCACACAGAGGAAACCGTGGCCCGGCGGCTGCCTCCACTAGCGTGTTCTCCCCCAGGACAAGCACACTTCGTGAACTGCAGTGTCAGAGAAGGACTGAAACCATGTCCAGCATGGCAAGCTTGGCGTGGTGGACGGGTCCAAACAAGGGGCAGCCCTGGAGCGTCCGAGGGCCTGGCTTCTCAGTCAGAGCTGGGAACAGGCTGAGGCTGGGGGGCCTCCGCCACCCCGTGCCGGTCCCAGCCACTGGGCTGGGATCCGCAGCCCCGCAGTTGGTGTGGAGGCTTCACCCTGCGGGCAGATTGGTTTCCGGTAAATCGCGGTTTGAGGAAGAAATGAAGCGACAGAACAAAAGCCATGGTGAGTCAGTTTCCCGGGAGATGTGTTCTTTGCGTCCCCCGATATCTGAAAGGGGGGGCTCCTCTGATATATGAGCGGTGGACAATTTTTCTGAGTCCTGAGAGAGAAGAATCCCAGATGGAGAATGAAGAAAAGCAACAGAAGAGGAAATAAAAGAAAGGAAAGTAAATCTGGGACAAATCCTCTCTTAGCAGCCAAATGAACCAAATGGCTCACTTTAAACTACATTCATAATTTATTTCATGGAAGGAAAAAAAATGAAACTTTCGCTGGTAAGTCTGAAGAAGAAGAACCAGCTCCGCTGGCCCCAGCAGCGGCCTGGATTACCCCTGCACCCCAACCCCCCCCTTTCTGCAGAACGCTGTTGTCCAAAGTGCAGCTGCCGGCCAGGACAGACTGCGGTCTCCCATCACAGGGGGCCTGTGACCTGCTGCGACAGCTGGACGCAGGACGGCTGAGGGCTGCGAACAGAGCCACGTGTCCCTGAGGAGGGGAGAAGCCTCGAATAACCTTGCACAGCAGGTTACTCTCAAACACGCCAGCAAGAGCTGACTGCCTGTGTGTGCGTGCTCATTCACAGCTGGGATATCGGTGACCCGGCCACCACACCTTCTAGGGAGGGGCAGGACCAGGTCCCGCTCGAGGTCCAAGAGGAGGGCATGCCCCCTCCCCAGCTCCTGCCACTGTCTGCCCAGCGTGGGCTGACCCCATGTGGCACCGACTGTCTGCCCCTTCCCTGCACACAGGGAAAGGCGAGTACTGCGTGCACGCAGTCATTCCAGACTGGGGATCAGAAGCTCAGAGAGGCCAAGGTCTGCCAAGGTCACCCAGGTAGCAAGCAGGGACTCCCAAGTGCATCAGGTAGAAATGGAATTTCTGGACACAAATCTCCTGCTTTGTCACACCAGGCCCTTCAGGGTTCTGACAGCCATTACCATGCCTTCCCCAGGCCTCCGGGGGCCCTTCTCTGAGTTCTTCTGATCGGGCCTGTGGGCCAGGAAGAGCCCGTGTGCTCACACGGTTCCCACGCACAGACCCATGATCGCCTTCCCTCCCGCCGTTACTGCGCTGCCCTCCCTCCCGGCCATTCCAAGTCAAGCGCTAGAACCCGCAGCCTTCTTTCCCCCTCCTTTGAAGTCCCAAAGCCCACCCGCCATGGCCATGCCACTCTGTACACCTCTCTGCACAGAGCTCCCTCCCAGCTGCAGGGCCACGGCCAGTGCCAGGGCCAGCCCCTTGAGCACCCTGGAGCACCGACCGTGGGGGCAGGCCCACTGCATGGCAGGGCCGCCCACGGGGCAGTGTTCCGACAGCACCTCTCGGCACCCTCACCCGCCGAGAACCCCCACCATTCCTTCACCAGGCTTTCTGCCTCTGGCGTTTAAAGACCTTATTAGTGTTTGGGGGTTTCTGTTAAGATACAGTGACAAACACCCTCTCCCTGGTGACAGTTCTTTCTGTCTAAATGTCAACACGTGTTTAGAGAACTTGTGTTCTGAAAAGGTGGTAAGGTGATCTGCAAAGGCCCGACTGCTCCCAGGGGAAGTGAGCTGGGAGGCACTGGGGTGGGAGACAAGGGTGTCTCACACCTGCCCCCCAAAGGGAAGAGAATGGGAGAGCAGTGTTGCACAGCTGCCACCTCATCCCGGAACTGGCCGCCACCTCCAACTCAGGAACTCCTCACCCCCCCCTGTGCCTTTGAAAAGAAAGGCCTGGGAACCTGGGACCGGCTTTCTGGGCCGTGCTGGCCCAGCCCCTGGCTGTTTGTCAGGCGCCTGCCTCGCCGGTTAGGACGAGATGGGAAGAGGGGTTTGCCCAGGTTGGCTGATGGGCCTGGGAAGGCTGCAAGTCAAAATCGAGGAGAAAAATAAAGGGACCCAGAAAAAAGGAACTTGTAAAACTTGGACATTAGCAATAGTAGCATTTTTATGTGCATATATCATACTCTGTGTAAATAAACTTTTATGTAGGTAAATGTATATGCATGTCTATTTTACATGTCTATGGAACACAATGCAGCCTTGTACTCTATATCTATATCGTGTACACACAAATACACACGCACACTCCGCATTCTACGAGACCTAAGGAAGCAGGAACCCGTGCACGACCACAAGGCCCAGCTGGCCTTCCACACCCGCCTTGCCTGGGTGTGGTCCCCGCTCCCCGGCCTGGGCACCCTGCCGCATGGTGGGGTGTGGCTAGGGCGGAGCAGGGCTAACCCCCCCAGGGGGCAACCAGGGGGTTTGGGGAAAGCACACCTCCTGGTCCCGGGCTGGGCTCCACGGTGGTTTCTGCACAGAGGCTCTCTGAGGAGGCTGGAGACGGCGGCTAGACGCTCTGCCCCGGTGGGCTCTGCCCTGGCCCTGCCCCAAGGCCAGAAGAGAAGGGAGGAAATTTGGGACAAGACACCACTGCATCTTAGAGCTTGTGACAGAAACACGGGCTCCTTTTGACGCCCTTCACATTCTTCTAGAAAACAGAAGAAAAGGCGGCGAGTGGAGAGCTCCGCGTGGGCGGGGACGAGGGAATGGGAGCTCGCTCCAGAGGAAGGCAGACCCTTCCCTCCACATGTGCACTTCCTTGCCAGGTGGCCAGGGTCCCAGGGAGCCGGTGCGAGTTTGCTAAACACATAATCCTCGAGCCAAATTTCATTAATTAAAAAAATCAAGTATGTCAAAGATTATGGCAGGCTGAAAGGATGTGGATTTTAGCAAAGCAGTTGACAAAATACCTCATGTTACCCCCAGTGGATAAGACAGACAAATACGGCTGGACAATGTGAAGGGCAGGGAAGCCCCCAACTGGCTGGACTCGGCGTACAAGTAGCTGATTCACAGACCGAGGCTGGCCTCGAGCACCCTCTCTGGAGGTTGCCCAGGACAGTATCAGTTACTTCACTGAAGACGAGCATGTGTGCTCATCCAGTACGTGGCCGGCGGGGGGTCAGGGGAGACAGTCCGTCAACTGGAACAGCGAAATCCAATGAAGATCTCAGAAAGTTGGGATTATGGGCTAAATTCAACAGAAGAAAGGTCAGTGTTAAGTCCTGTACTTTAGGTCCAAACACCGACTGTGTTAGATGGAATGAAAGAGACGTGGAGGGTCTGAACACAGTTGTTTGTGGTTGAACCATGTGAGTCCCCACTTAAAAAGCGGGGCGATGCCACCGTGAGGCACGGTGCTACCGTCCTGGTGTTAGAGCCAGGCAGCCTCCGCCTCGGGCTGGAGGTTGGTGCCAGGACCGAATTCTCAGAGGGTCATCTGGCAGCTTCTCCGGAGGCCGAGGATGGCCAGGGAGCTGGAGCCAGACCACAGGAGGAGAGGAGAGGAGGCTGTTGGGCCCGACGCCCCAGAAAGGCACGGCGCTGTCCGTTTTTGTCCATCGCTGCCCTGCTGGGACCCCAGAGCCCAGCGCTGTGCCCGGCACATGGGAGTTCAGCAAGATGGGGGCTCTGGTCCGGAAAGAGGAGACTCGAAGGTGGCCATAACCGAATGTCTGCACATACCCTCAGAGCTGCCACAGGAAGCGGCGCTAGAGAGGTGGGTGCGGTTCGGTGGGGCAGCTGCCCTCCCGGGGAAGGCGTGAGGAAGCACGAGTGGGGCTGGATGACAAGGGCCAGGAAGGCGGCCACGTGCCTTGGAGCTGGGCAGGGCCTGAGTGCTGGGTACAGAGCTGATCCGTGGGACCGCTGAATCCCCTTCTAATTCCGTAACAGGCATTCCTACTCTCCTTATCTGGGCAGCCTCTCTGTATTTTAAAATATCTAGAGGTTTGCCAAACATAATTCTCAAAATCAACGGCACACGTTTCTCACGTGTTCCAAGAGCGTGTTCATAAATCACCTCCACCC